CACATATTACGCGTGGAAACACACATATCGTGTTGTTTGAAGAGATAAACATTCTGTTGTTTGACCAAAGCCACGAGACTGGAGAGTTACTAGTGGAAGCAGAACATCGCAGTATCTCTCCCTCTCTGTCTGTCTGTCTCTGTCTGTCTGTTTGTCTGTCTCTGTCTGTCTGTTTGTCTGTCTCTGTCTGTCTGTCTGTCTGTCTCTGTCTGTCATCAGATTTAGAGACACGGAAACAGTTTCCCAGAAAATAAACTTGGCAAATACCTGAATGATAGTACAACGCTGAAGTTTATTAAAAGAATTACTCGTACCGGTGTTTGCATAAGAATATCTCGAGGTTTTGATGGTAAAAGATTGGGCAAATTATATGAAGAAATAAACAAAAACAAGTGAGCCAATCACGAAATTTCTTCACTTTATTTCGTATCTGCCCATGTTTTTGAAGAAGCATATATAAAATAAATAAATGAATATTGCTGTAGAAACGATAATATTGAATAAAGCCCCTCATAAAACTGTGTGTGTGTGTGTGTGTGTGTGTGTGTGTGTGTGTGTGTTGTGTGTGTGTGTGTGTGTGTGTGTGTGTGTGTGTGTGTGTGTGTGTGTGTGCGTGTGTGCGTGCATGCGTGTGTGTGTGCGTGCGTGCGTGCGTGCGTGCGTGCGTGCGTGCGTGCGTGCGTGCGTGCGTGCGTGCGTGTGTGTACCTCTAAAAATGTGTGTGCGTGTGCGTGTGTGTAAAAGGTAATCTCGTTTTAGGTGACAAATCTGTTTTGATTTTCTAAAGAAATACATTGTTCTTTGACTGTTTCACGTGTACAACTCATTTTTTTTTTTTTTTTATTTCCGACAGATTGATATGCCTGGTTTATAGACCGTAATCGAAAAAAAAAGTGACCATTGCACATTGAATAAGTTAAAGCGCCAAAATTATTCATAGGTTGATGAATATCTGATATAAGGAATATCTGCATAAAGCTCTTCGATTTCTAACTTAATTATTGTCAGTGTGCAACAATCTTCTCTTACACTACGCGATAATTAGAACTATTCTCTTGCTAGTTTCGTCTCTTGCAATTGTCAATTTTGATCCATATGAACGGCATGTCATTCTTATTCATTTCTTCATCATATGTAATTACGAATACTGAAGGAATATGTAAGGAGGTTGATCAAAGATGAAAATGACGAAATTTGATCCATATGAACGGCATGTCATTCTTATTCATTTATATCCCAAAAACTTTCGTTGTTTTTTATTAACGTTTCCCATATTTTTGTTATATTCCGAAAAAAATGAAGGTAGGTCTCCTATGAGAAATTTCATATGCTTTCAGAAAATAATCTTGTTTTTTAAATCATATCTAATCGTTACGTCACAATTGCCAATTTCCCTAGGGTGAAAAATCATATTTCGGTGGCTACCTAAAACAGCGGGTGGGCCTTGAAATTTTCAAGGCAGTTTCAGAGGCCCTGAAACTCTTTGGAAATGCATTTAAATAAAATTCCGCAAGATGAGCGATTTTTGCCGAAAAATGACCAGACGGTGGTGCCTTTAAGGGCTACTAGATCAAAAAGCTATTGTGAGTGGGTGTTGGAGATGAAGTTGAGGAAGAACACGGGGAATGATACTAGGGATCTGTTCAGTTTCGGTTATATTTGCGACGTCTAGCTTCGCCCGGCCTTTTCGCACGAGTGGCCTGAGACTAGGATCAAGGAGAGAACATCAGGCGGATGTCAGAGGGGGGGGGGGAGGAGGGGCACTCTCTGGCAAAAGGGAGTCACGAGTATGTCCAGGAGGGAGCAGAGGGGGAACGAAGGGAGGGGGCGGTGCACATGGATCGTGTGGAAGGCGACTGGGTGTACTGGGAGGAAGGGGTGTAGGAGGATGAATGGATGTCGGCGGTCACTTTGGGAAAGGGAATGGGAGCAGAGAGATTGGATGGTGGATGAAGATGGGGCGTGTTTTTGGGTCATGATTAGAAAGTTTTGAGTGTCTCCAAGAATTTTTGAAAGGGAGGAGGTTGGGGAGCTCCGAGCGGGAGAAGAGGGAACAGGACTGACGTCTGTGGAGCAGAGAAAGCAGTAGGTGGAGGAGAGTATGTGGTAGAATATAGGTGGAACGTTTGGATTGTCTGGTGCGACGGGTAGAGTGGGGAGAGGCAGGCATACGGGAAGTGGTAGAAATTGGAAGGTCTGAATTTAGAATGGCAAACGAAATCGTCTGGGAAAGGGAAGGGAGAAGAGATACTTGGGAAGATGTAGCAACATGTTCGGAGGAAAGGGCGGGGCCAGAGGGAAGCAATGCACTGGTGTAGGGAGCAAGAAAAGAAAACATTATGGGAGCCACCACAAGCAAATGCTGCGGAGCAGTTTGAACGATCATGACCGTACTGGGTACACAGAGGGTAACGCTGCTCTTTATGTACTCAACCTGGACATGAATCATGACTGTTCACACTGCCAGACTGTTGCTATAGAGCAAGTGTTTGGTACTGTACAGATACTGCGGGGGAACGAGTTTGTATGGTAGGATAGGATAGGCCTCTCTGACAATAGAAACATAATGGGGGAAGTCAAGTCAAGGAAAATAATTTTGGCAATATCAGTGGTGTCACGGCGTTCTCTATGGGGAATAAGGTAGCATCACATTCATACTCCATCATAGTCAACGAGGCAGGCAGGCAAGCAAGTCGTTTTCGCAATCTGACCAACCCTTGCCTGTGGAGACAGAGACAGTTCCGATAAAAGTATTTAGGGAGGAGTGAGGCGGGGCAGGGTAGATAATATTTGAGTCTGGACTCGGATGTAACTGTGACAAGGCGAGAACGAGATGAATGGCAGCGGAAGAAGCCTTAGCCTTACCTGTTTTTGGAGACATTGTCGGAAGAGGAGGGTGCAGTACGAGCAAGGGGCTGTAGGGGCTGTAGGGGGATCGCAAAAAACTCAAAAGGTTTGTAGTGGAAGTAGTGGGGGGGTCAAGGATGGAAGGAAGAAGCAGTAGTGTTGAGTGAGGTAATACTACGGAGATGCGGACAAGAAGGATGAAGAGTAATAACATGGGAGGGGGTAGATGTTGGGAGAAGGGAAGGAATGTTTTCCGTAGATCAGGTAATGACCTGGGTGGATGACTTAGAATGGACCGAGCTGACAGTGGGTACCAAGGACGGAGTAGCAGCAGCAATGTTCAAGTCATGATTAAAGACTGGCCAGGGGCTGATGAACTGGAAAAGTTTAAGTTAGTGGGCCTAGTTGAAAATGGGGCAAGCCTAAATGACCCCAATAAGGGTGCAAAATCATTAAAGGCCATGGTAAGCCTGGAGGATGTGGAGAAGAGCAACTCCATGAAGAGTAAGGGCTAGACAACTAACGAGAATACCATACCCGTGGGAGTTCAGGACTTAATTTTAACACAGCTCTCACATCTTAGAAGTGACCAGGAAAAGGGGGCTAAAGAAGAGAAGGAAAAAGAAAGGGAGAGAAGAAAAGGCCATGCAAAATTGGTTGAGCCGAGGGCTGAGGCGCAAAGCAGGGGAGATCCAATATACTGCGCAACAGTCTTGCCTCCTATGCACCCCCATGATAATGGGCTTCGGGGATAGTTGTCTTAATTGAAGCAGAAAAAAAACAAGACTCTTTTCTATGAGAGAGAGAGAGAGAGAGAGAGAGAGAGAGAGAGAGAGAGAGAGAGAGAGAGAGAGAGAGAGAGAGAGAGAGAGAGAGAGAGAGAGAGAGAGAGAGAGAGAGAGAAGAGAGAGAGAGAGAGAGAAGAGAGAGAAGAGAGAAGAGAGAGAGAGAGAGAGAGAAAGAGAGAAGAGAGAGAGAGAGAGAGAGAGAGAGAGAGAGAGAGAGGAGAGAGAGAGAGAGAGAGAGAGAGGAGAGAGAGAGAGAGAGAGAGAGCGAGAGAGAGAGAGAGAGAGAGAGAGAGAGAGAGAGAGAGAGAGAGAGAGAGAGAGAGAGAGAGAGAGAGAGAGAGAGAGAGAGAGAGAGAGAGAGAGAGAGAGAGAGAGAGAGAGAGAGAGAGAGAGAGAGAGCGCTCCTTGTCACTTTTCTAAATCATTCAGAATTTCAATGTGTGGGTGACACTGGCTTGATACAGCAGCTTTGTAAGTTTACTTTCACACAAGTATTGACTCCTTATATCCTTTTTATGGAAAGACCTTTAAAAACAATACTCACCTAGTTTTCATTCTCTAGGGCTTCTAATGGATTTTCTAGGGACATCTTATAATGACAAACAGGCCACTGCCGAAAATAGTGCTTACAACTAATTTGAAACATGATACGTAAATTTTTTTTTTCCAGATTATCTTTACTTATTCGAAAGCACTTGTTTCCCCTTCTTTTGAAGTTATTAGTTGAACAGAAAATAATATAAAATGCCTTGATTTTGTTCTTAATGAATATCTGCAATTACATATTTGTAAATCAGTTATTTTTATTTGAAATAATACACCCTTTTCAGTATAGTTCATTGAAAAGAAAAAAATTAAATAAATAATAAAAAAGACATCATCAGGAACAAAGATTCACTACCATACTTACTACACTCCACTTATATTCCAAACATGTTTGTATGTCTTTAACGTGAGTGGACACTTCAGAGCCAATAGGACCTGAAGAGTTATTCAGAAAAGCATTTACCACATGACATAAAATATCAGGAGCCATGTGAAACTAAATAAAATAATGGATGATCAGGATGTCCAATATGTGATTTGTATTTCTCGTCTATTTACTATTAAAAACGAGTATATACAAAAGTATGTTCTCAACATGCCTAAACAGAGATATGCATGTATAAAAGTGTTTTCTGACCCTATACTATACTGTAACAAAGACATAATAATTCTCAGTAAATACCACAGCATAGTATTTGTTAGAACGTCTTTTCAGCCACCGTAAACTACTTACATGCAGTTAAACCACACACTGGCACAGACACCAATTTCAAATATCTGAACACAAGACCCCTTTCATAACCAAACATCAAACAACTGTTCAAGTAATCAAAATTTTTTTTATTTACAAGTGTAGAAAGTATTACAGAACAGTCAGTATTAACCTGTTAGATCAACTGCACACAGGCTGGGAGGTAAAGAACACAGGGGAAGCAAATAACAATGCACTGAGCTCATATGTTGTGGAGTATTGACTTGACATTAACCTGGAAATTGTGAACTCAACATAGAATAGCTACTACAAAATAAATAAATCAGCTAAAATAATAATAATAATAATAATTATATGCATAATAATAACAAAATACAGTCATCACTGGGTATACCTTATAATAACCTTCAAGTTGTTTATAAAAAGGAAATCAAAGTAATAGACCCATTACATGATGCATTCTATAGCAACAATTTCTGTATATATCGTCCAGTGAGGGGATGAATAACATGCTATATCACAATAAAAGGTACTGAACATTCACTTTCAGGTACATATAAAAATATTACTCAAGTTATGATGACAATAGACCAACATCTATGTGCACCCCTAAACAAAGAAAATTAAAGAAAATACCTTTAAACAGACTGATCCTAATGACAAGGTTAACAAAATCAAAAGAAATGCAAGAACTAAAAATTTTCATAACATTGCAAGTCCAGTGCACTTGCATGCTTCCATAGAAGTCAAGGGAAGAGGGGGAAATCTGCAACAGTACTGTTGACATAAAGAAAACAGTAAAGTTTAAGAACTAACACTGCATAACAATGTCTTGTTTGTTTATATAGTAAGGATCCTGTGATGGTGAACTTAAGAACAATCCGCTCTGGAGACATGGAACTTCTCTGGGTCGCAAAAACCCCTGTGCTTTCTGATTCTTGCAACAGCCAACTTGATCTTACCATTTTTTAAAAAACTGCATCTGCATGCACATCCAAATATACAGGTATGTATATATATTTTTTTCCTTTTGACATCATGTACCAGATTTATGCTGACAGAAGTGATTTTTCTTTTCATAACACTGATGATCAGATTGAGTCACAGCTGTGACAGAGGGGAGTGGTGATGGTGTCCATGATATTGGAGTGTAAGTGGAGGTGGAGGGACTGGTGGCGCTGGCGGTGGTCGTGATTGTGGTGGTGGAACGGGAGGACGAGGAAAGGAGAGGATAGTCCTGTAGGAAGAGTAGGAAGGAAGCTAAAATAAAAGCTGAAGTGAGAGAATAAAAAAAATTACAATAATATTTAAATGAAGTAAAGCAAGTTGCCCATAAACACATTTAGCAATTGTTCAGAACTTAAAAAAGTGTAATAATCAGAACTCCTTATAATCACTAAACCAGAAAAATGTGTGGGGTGTATACATATATAAAAAAGCATATTATGCAGCAATATGGTCTGGAAATATCACCAGTTAAGGCTTTTCAGTATATCCAGAGGAGAAGAAAACAAAAAGTGCTGAGTTGTCTCTCACTTTTTGCATCAGCTGATGGGCAACACTGACAATTCCCATTGAGGAAAACCGAAGCATGAAGCAATGGAAATGGCATCTTGCTGGATAAAATGTTAAGCAAAACCCTCCATCATCACAAGTTGCAAGATGACTGTAAATGACTGCTTCATGACTATATGTCCTCTTTCAATTTTCTCCCCTTGCTTCGGACTGATGCTACAGACAACCGTAAATTTATTCGATTGTGTGTACAGTACAACTATGCTCTTCCATTGCTAATGTAAAAAAATATTCTTAATATTCTGGAGACTTGGTAAAATACACCTATTTTTCATTGGACAAAGGTATGCACACATTTTTATTTGATTTATAGTACATCCTACTTAGTCTAATAATAAATTAATATTTTGTCTAATTGTTAATTGCCTTAAACAGTGGAAAGAAAAGTTTGGGTTAACAGGTCTTCTAACCTCACAGCATTGTGGAAAGAGACACACCAATAGAAGATGAAAACAAGAATGAACAGAGAGAGCGCGGAGATAAGAGCGAAAAGCAAGAAATAAAAAAGGCGGGAGTTGGATGTATTTACAAAATGAGAATGGGGGGATAAGGGACGAAGATAAGGGAACAGACGTAAAGAAGGGACCAAAAGAAAGATGGAAAGAGGGGGGAGGGAAAAAGGGGGAGAGAGTGAACTGACAAAATGTGTTTTTTTTTTATTATAATGGAACATTGTATTTTTGGTTATATGAAATGCCCTTTGGTGTTTGCAAAAACTGAGACAGCATTATTTTATTTCCTTTCACATTAGAGAAATAGTAATAATAATTATGGTAATTACAAGCTGTTTTTCCATCCATCTTTCATACATACCACCATATCTTACAGAGTTAGGCATGACCACACATAATAGAAATATCTTCTGTCCATTGCTCAAAGCTCAAACACAATGAAAAAATGGAAAAAATATATATAATACCAAATATATAAAATAGTGACAAGTAAAAAAGGGAGAAATTTAGACTTTAAAAGGCATTGTGTAGATGGCACACGATAGTCGCCTGGAAGTAAAAAATAATAATAACGTTGATTTTCTTTCTAGCTAAGATCAGATTCACAACTGTACAACAGCTTCTCTTTAGATGCATACAAAGACAAGCAAACTGACTGTACCCTGTGTAACTTTCTCTGAACTTTGCCTGTCTTACAGTTTCCATTAACAACATGAAAACTTAAAATAACATTTCAACTCTGCAATGAGTTAAAGCATGTGTTATCCGATGTGGAACTTCCATTCCAATCTTCTGTAGTAACTGATAATTTCTCAGATCTTCCTATTTATCTTGCTCATATTTACGCATGTACTTCTTTACTTATTTATAGATTCATCTTTATAGCACAGTCTACAAAGATTGATAATGTGTAACTCGTCAATTTGCATATTTTCTTCTCAATTTTTGTTCTTGTGGTACAGATCTTTTTATATCTTTTTCTCCTGGAGAACCTCATTTTAAGTATGGTCTTTGAAACCCACTTTTCTGAAGTGCTTGGCAGGATTCTTTAATGATCAAGCAACTGTTCTAAAACATAAAATAAAACAAAATAAAAGGAGGGAGGGAAATGGAGAGAAAGAGAAAGTGTGAGAGAGAGAGAGAGAGAGAGAGAGAGAGTGAGAGAGAGAGAGAGAGAGAGAGAGAGAGAGAGAGAGAGAGAGAGAGAGAGAGAGAGAGAGAGGAGGAGAGAGAGGAAGAGAGAGAGAGAGAGAGAGAGAGAAGAGAGAGCAAGAGAGAGAGAGAGCAAGAGAGAGAGAGAGCAAGAGAGAGAGAGAGAGAGCAAGAGAGAGAGAGCGAGCAAGAGAGAAGAGAGAGCAAGAGAGAGAGCAACAGAGAGAGAGAGAGAGAGAGAGAGGAGAGAGAGGAGGAGAGAGAGAGAGAGAGAGAGAGAGAGAGAGAGAGAGAGAGAGAGAGAGAGAGAAGAGAGAGAGAGAGAGAGAGAGAGAGAGAGAGAGAGAGAGAGAGAGGAGGAGAGAGAGAGAGAGAGAAGAGAGAGAGAGAGAGAGAGAGAGAGAGAGAGAGAGAGAGAGAGAGAGAGAGAGAGAGAGAGAGACCACCCTTAGTTTGCTGTATATCAGTCACTGCTGATGGCAATGCAAAGGACAGTGATAATCACTTCTTCCATAACAGAAAAAAAAGGAAAGAAATGAAAGAGTGGGAAGAGAGAAAGCAGAAAAAAAAAAAAAAATAATAATAATAAACACAGTCCATGAAAACGAAATGTTCTTGAGCTGTAACGAGTCCTAGAAACACAGCAACCCTACCCCTAGACTTGAGTTGGCTGTCCCGTCACGATTGGTCTTGCGTACTCAACAAAATCATCAATTAGCACGGGCCATGCTCCTTCCTCGTCATAGTTTGACATGTCCTCGTTAATCATCAATGCAAAGTCCAGTAGAAGGTTCCAAGTATCCTTTGGTATGGAGCGTTTGTGATGTTCCTGCGGGGGGGAGAGAGGAGCATGATTAACCGGGAAGAATAAGTGGAACAAACGATTGTACTTAACGCTGGCTCATTTTTCTGACTGTTGAAGGATTGTAAATTTGTTCAGCACACACTTTTTAGACAACAGAGACATGGACGTTTGAGGTAGGGCAGATTCATCCCACAAGTAGACCATATTACCAAACAGAATAAACAGGAAGACGAAAATTTACGCATGCAATTTAATCGAACTTTTCAAAACTAAGAGGATAACAAGAGGCTGTTATGTTACTTAATCTAAATTCACAGGGCCTAATAGTGTAGTTAATTTTTCACAGATATTGATGTTCAAAACAAGTCAAAATTCAAATTTCATTCTCCTGACCCAAGGTTTCCAATCCAAAATGGAAGTGGATGTGGATTTAACTGTGGTTATGTGATTCATGCAATTGGCATGAGACCTCCCTAAACAGATGGTGACTGGCCGCAGCAAGCTTTTAGAGTAATGATCTACTGCTGTTGAATATTGGAGTTCAGTATGAAAAAAAAAATGGATAGAGTGAGAGAGAGAGAGAGAGAGAGAGAGAGAGAGAGAGAGAGAGAGAGAGAGAGAGGAGAGAGAGAGAGAGAGAGAGAGAGAGGAGAGAGAGTCGGAGCGTAAAAGTAGCAGACGAGATGAGACTCGAGAGAGAGAAGACGACGAAACGAGAGTAGGACGAAGAAGGAGCAGGCCGAGGAGATGAGAGGGCGGAGAGAGAGGAGAGGACGAGAGAGCAGGACGAGCAGAGCAGAGACGAGAGAGAGGAGAGCATTACGAGGCTGCAGAGAGAGAGCGAAGGAGAGAGGCTGAAGAGAGAGAGTGAGAGAGAGAGAGAAGAGAGCAGAGTGAGTGAGAGCAAGCAGGCAGAGAGAGCAAGGAGGAAGAGAGAGGACGAGACGGGTAGAGAGGCCAGAGCAGGGGGGGCAGAGGGGGGCACGGGAGGGAGGCGAGGGAGGCGAGGAGGCGAGGGAGGGAGCGGAGGAAGGGAGAGAAGAGAGAGGAGAGAAGAGCAGAGCAGGGAGAGGACGGAGGCGAGGACGACCGGGTAGGTGATGAGCAGAGAGGAAGCGAGGAG